ACTGTTTAGATTTCGGCATTCTTTCATCCGACTCAATCTTCATTGAGGCCTTCTAACTGATACAGAATAGAAACACTGAAGATTCAGAGGCAAATTCCCGAGCCGCGGAGGGTGAGGATCACTGCTAGCCCCGAAAACAATTCGGTTTATCCCAGAAGATAAGTCTTCAAACTAAATCAATCTTACGTTCTAGAATAAACGCTAAGAATGGTAACGAATATACCTTTTCTATATTTTACGAACGCTTATAAATATTTCCATTATAAAGCAGCAGTTGATCGATAGTTATCTCTGTGCACAGTAGTCCGTGAACTATTGACACCTATCTTCTTATATAGCAGTTAGTGTCTTATGAATGGCACCACTATATCCTTGTGAATGACATATGAATACCTTCCTTACATAGTAGTTGATAATCCAAAGATACACTTATTGCATAGTGGCTGATGACCCAAGAGTACTCTCAATATACAGTACTTAATATGTTAAGGATATCCTCAATATACAGTAGTTGATGACCCAAGCATACCTCCAATATATAGTATATGAGGACCAAAGGGTACCCCCAATATATAGTATATGATTACCTAGAATGACCCCGTTTCAGAGTGCATTAAGAGTTATGGGTACTTTGGTAAATGTTTATTCACTTTAATGAATTTTTTAGGAGAAGTTTCTTATAGTGAAAAATGTACTTTTACTTTAAATTTTGTAAAGTTAAAGTTTAAGGTAGTACTTTTAACTTTAACTTTAACTTTAACTTCTAAAGCTTAAAGTATCACTTTAAACTGTCATTTTAAAATAAAATTAAAGTGCCACCTCTATTGCAGATGTATGGTATACGTGCACATAGGATCTACCGCGTCCTACGGTGAAAACGCTCCAAAACTAGAACCTCGACAGTCTTATGTGACATGTTTCCAACGACTACTTGTGACTTGTAAATCTTTGCAGTGACAATGAACTTTTCGCCCAAGACCCAACGTGTTAGACTTGCAAACACGTCCATGAAATGAGGGTGAGCTCGCTTTCACTGATCAATCAATTTGATTAAGTCTGTCAATTACCCGGAAAACTTAGATAATCTAACCACTAGCAATATAGCTAAGTAACAATTGTAGGATCTGGTTACAGCTCCAGAGGACATTGAGCTTTTAAAAGGCGAATAGTCGAAGTCGAATCTGAATTTTTTGTGATCTAGTTTTGGCATATATACCTGTTCTTATGAGGGAACATTCCCAAGTACTAAAAAGCTTTTCGACTGGGGATGTAATAATTAGATAGGACATAGCTAGAAGTGATATACCCTAAGTTAGTTCGGGCCTAAGTTGAGATTTGGCTGAGATATCGACTTTTTACTACAATTTGCCTATGAGATCCCATCTTCTCCATGAAATCAAAGTTTTGAGTTTTGAGGTGAGACTTTGCCCATATCAAGGCCTCAGCCAGAGTAGTTCATCCAAAAAGTTTCAGAATTTTTGGCAGCAGTGTCACATATCCCGGATTTTGGAGATGCACCCACATTTCCCCTTGGAGATGGGGCATCTCCCACGGGAGATACGGCATTTCTTGTGAGGTATGTGTATTTCTAAAGGAAATGTGAATGCATCTCCAAAATCTTGGATATGTGACACCACTCATTTTTGGGCTAAGCATTCTTGAGATATAATATTTTCAAAATACCCATGCATACAACAATATCGGTAAAAAATTGTTTATGCTAGCAGACTCATATCTCGGGAATGCCTATCCCAAAAATTCTGAAGCTTTGCGGATGAACTACCCAGGCTGTGGCCTTGATATGGGCAAAGTCTCACCTCAAAATTCAAAACTTTGATTTCATGGGGAAGATGGGGTCCCATAGACAAATTCTAGTAAAAAGTCGATATCTCAGCCAAATCTCAACTTGGGCCCGAACTAACTTAGGGTATATCACTCCTAGCTATGCCCTATCTAATTATCACATCCCCGGTCAAAAAGCTTTTTAGCACCTGGGAATGTTCCCTCGTTAGTCATAGGATTGAAATCTCACTGAGATCAATACATAAGTAATCGACTCTGCCGAATTGTGAGCATAGCAAGCCGTCACTCTGCCCTAGACAAGATATGGGCAGGGTGTGGGTGTGGAGTGTGTGCGCTTTTAGTAAGAGCACACAGTGACACCCCCAGCCCCATCCACACACCCATATCTACCTATCTTTGCTGGCACACTTCGATGTTTTCTGTTGTACCTTTCAGGGCAAAAGGATCGAAACTGTCTTCTCGGTGACTCCTGTGCTTTTTTCAGCAAAAGTATTGGCTTAGCTATCGACGATATCATGCGGACCCAAATTGCTTCTAATGCGACCCTGACTAATCAGCCAATATCCATCAAGATGAACGCAGCTATCACCGTGATCCTGTTTCTAGTTGGTTTCATCAATGGTATCCTCTCTCTTATCACTTTTCAAAACAAAGAAACACGAAAAGTCGGCTCAGGTGTCTATCTCTTTGCATCCACTGTTTCTTCTCTTGTCACAATCACTACATTCAACATCAAGTTCTGGTTCTTCATTCTCGTTCAAACCACTTCTAACATCAATTACTCTGTTCGTCATTTCGGCTGTATCATTATCGAGCCCAGTCTAAAACTGTTTCTTTATCTCGATGGTTGGTTCAATGCTTGTGTAGCTATCGAAAGAGCGATGGCTGTTTCGAAAGGAGTCAAATTCGACAGAAAAAGAAGCAGACGCGTCGCATTGTGGTTGATAGCGGTTCTACCATTATTTATTACAGGTACCCTCATTCATGAGCCGCTACATCGTGACTTATTCGTTGATAGAGAAACAGACCAAGAGTGGTGCATCGTTAGGTATTCTCGTTCAATCCAGTACTACAACATGCTTGTATTGCTCTTTCATTACCTCATGCCTTTCTTAGCCAATTTAATATCTGCACTACTCATTATCTTTGGTAGAGGTCAACAACGGTCAATGAACAACACTGGAAGTAGCTTCTGGAAGAATTTTCACGCACAGTTGTCAGCACACAAGCAACTGTTGATCAGCCCAATCATTCTTGTGGTTCTTTCCCTGCCGCGTCTGATGATCTCATTGCTATCTGGCTGTATTGATGTATCGGATAATCCATGGTTGTATCTGAGCGGATACTACATTTCCTTCATTCCATCAGTGACGATATTTTTAGTGTTTGTACTGCCATCGGAACTTTACAAGAGAGAGTTCAAAGCATCGATCGGTCGTTGGCGAAAAGGAATTCATCGATAATTTACATTAGCACTCATTATGATGATTTACTAGCCATCGCTCATTGCTTGTAATCTCAGTTTCGTTTGAATCGAGCTCTACTCGCGCACGTCAAGTTAATGATGATCCTTTTTCATGATGTATGAGCATCATTTGAGTTATATAAGAAGGTCTTTTACAGTTACATTAATAATAATAATAAGGGTGTGGGTGTGTGTGGCTGTGATGGGTGTGGGTGTGGGAAATCTTTTAGATCTGGGGAAATTTTTGAAAATTTTTGAGCCTGGAAATGTTTCGAAAAAATAACTTTTTCCCATATGAAAAAAATCACAAGCTGTAATACCTGTACCTATGAGCTTCTTGCCATTGTGTTATTAACTATTTCTTTCTTTTTGTCCTGTTTCTCTTTCCTCATGCTTCGTTTTTCTCTTTCTCTCAGTTCCATATGTTCTGTTTTGTTGCTCCGCGCGCGTGAGTGCATGTGAGTGATATGTGTATGAGATATATTTCGCTCTCTGCTCTTCTGGTATGATGCTTCATTTGTTGTTTTGTTCTGATATTGATGATGTAATGGTGAGAGAGTAATCACACAAGTTTACTAGACACTTTCTCTGATTTGCTTGTTGCTTATTTAGTCATAGTGACTATCTTGCTTCTTGGTATTCTTTCTACTTTTCTTTCTTGTCATATCACTACTCTGTCATGCTTCGTATTTACTCTTTGACTTTAGATCACTAAATTGTTACGATTTTGAGCAGTAGAAATGTTTCCTAGTAAAGAACAAGTATCGTGTTTTTATTGTGATTAGAATGGTCGTAAAGATAAAGCGAAGGACCATTGTACAAGAAATCATCCTGATAAAACGTTCAAACTGAAGCTTGCAGAAAACAATATGGAAAAACTTTTTCAAAAAAAAAACTCAAGGAAGAGAACCAGTTATAGATGCCATCAGTAATGACGAGCAGGAACAAGAACAACAATCTTCTATCATCATTTCACCCTCATCTCCATCACTCATTCATTCGGATCCCTCACCTATGCCTTCTGGTGTTGTTTTGACGAGTCCGACGATCTATTCCGTTCACGATCAATTACTATCGATGTCGAAGCAGCTGACAAAATTATCAGACACGATAGAACAAATGAATTCGGACAAAGCAAAAAGGCATGTATCGTCAATTCCACAATCGGATGATATTGAACAACTATTTGAAAATATCAAATGTACGAATGAGTTATATTCATTGAAGCATATGGAAATAAATAATCAACTGGATACTATTATGTGTATACCATGTTTAAAGTTTAAAAAACATGCACCAAAACATTTATTAAGTACTATTAAATCTTCGTTTGGCTCATTTGAATACATTGAACAAGACGCGACTCGAGTTCAATCTGAACGTTTTCGAAATTTAAAAAAGCTTTAAGACATCATTATTTAAACAAACTACACATCTGGTGTGTAGAAGAAGATGAGAAACGAAAGCAATTATTCGACGATTTTTTAAGAAAAAATGAGAAAGCTTGATGGAATGATGGTCGAGCAGCGTTATTCTGTATTCAAGGTGGTCTTGGTGGTCTGAAATTTGTTGATACATTGAACTTATTGGATATCTCTGGAGCGTCAGTTGGAACTTATAGGTAGATAAAACTATTTTACCAGAGATAAATCTGTCAGTGTCATGCTAGACCTTATTATTTGCATATATGTTTAGACACAGTCGATAGTTTTTCGAGAAACTAAGAACGTCGATGACAATAACGATGAAAAACAGAATTAGTGAATATTTACATTCGGTTGATCCTGTTACACAACGTCGTCGACCGTTCGGCATAACATTGGACAAAGTTACATTATTAAAAAGGTCGATGCAGGTGACAATTATGATCGTGATGATTGACGGACAGTTAACACCTCTTTATCTTCAGTCTCCATTATGTCAAACAGAGCTAACGGGGGAAGACTTAGCTAGTAATTGTGTTCGAGTACTAGAATCATTTGGCTTGAAAAAAAATGCATTGCAAGAACAATTCACTGGTTGTGCCGTCAATGGTGCTTATATTAATTTGCAAATTGAAAAACATCTATGTCAAAAACTAGGAATGCGAGAGAGATGGTTAACAGTGTCATGGGATAGTGCACATTTACTTGAATTAGCAATAAATGATGCAAAGAAACAAAGTAAATTTTCCCGGTTACAAAGGTTCATTAAAACATGCGGTACAATCATGAAAAAATATTCATATGGAAAATCATATGAGCACCTACTGGAAGCAGCTGAATTAGTCGAAGAACAAATACTACAACCAAAACAATTTCATATTACCCGTTTTATTCAATCCGAACTCCGCGTATACGAAACAGTATTAAGAGATTGGTCAACTCTGTATTATTTGCAAGAACAAGATAGTGTAATTAACTCATTAGCAGGTGGAAATGTAAGTGCAAGAACAAGACGAAATATTGATACAGAATACAAAGCAGGTGATAGCAATAATGTTAGTTACAAAGTAAGTCGTAATCAGAATTTTTACTCCGTGAGAATCACTTCATTCTCTGGTTTAGCATGAAGATATCAAATCTGTGGATTTTGTTTGTAAACTTATTGGTTTAAATGATATCTACAATATTCTTGTACGAGCATCTATGTCTGTGCAGCAAGTCAATAAATACCCGTGGGAACATGATGATTCAATTCGATATTTACAAAAATGTTTAAATGGATATAGTAAATTGAACAATTAGACTTAAATAAAACACAAGAAATGGATAGTTTGGAAGGTAAATTCTTGTTTTAGATTCTAAAATATTGCCACCTTTCGAATATACACTTTTATCTTATTACGTTAGAATGTGAAGAACCGGAACCAGTTGGCTTACTCGAACCAACAATCGATGACGATTGTGATATACAAGAAGAAGACGACGAAGATACACAAGTTCGAGCGATGCCATCAGCAACATGTATTGAACAATATTATCAAGATCTATTGAAATGTGAATTCAAACAACGTCCAATCATCATACGACCTGGTGATTATGATTTAGAAGATCCAACTACACATACAAGAAAAAAATTGATCGAATTATGTCAACAATTAGTTGAAACAATT